CTTGTGTGTTGAGGGAGTCAAGTGCTGTTTGATGTGACCCTAGTGTTGGTGGGAAGCAGTAGGTGCTGAGCCTGGAGAGGTACCTTGGGCTAAGACAGAACTTGGAAGTGACTTCCACAAGGCCAGACCGAGCAGTTTGGACTTCATTGTGTAAGTGAGGTGGTGGGAAGAGTCGGAATGTTTTGAGGCAGAGCAGTGTCATGGCAGGACTGGAGAGCAGAAAGAACAGGCCATATTGAAGGAGAGGGAAGGCAAGACTAAGAATTATGTGTCAGGAGTTATATACCAGTCACTGTGTTATGTGTTTTACCTTCATTACCTCATTTGATCTTCTGATATGCCTGTGAGAATCGCAGCTATTATTTTTCTCAGATGAAGAAATTATTGTCTGTTTTCAAGGACTTTATAATAAAGTGACATTTTCTGTGAGATGGGAGGAGGGGTGCTACCATGGAGCCAGTCTCTTGTTTCTTGCCCCACCATATAGCTGGGTTAATCTTGAAGTGCTGTATTTTTTGTTGGAATTTTATTTTGGCTCAACAAACATCACATCTGATGTTCTGCTTCATGCAAGTGTTCTACATTTATAATCAATTTGCCTTTAGAGTTCACACAATTGAACTTAGAAACAGATAATTACCTAAATAACTAAAATGCAAGAGAATGTACAACAGGTCTTCATGGAAGGATTCGTATTATCTTTTTTATTTTTAGCTGCTTGTCAGTACGGGAATTCGAATCCTTGATCCTGGTATTATAACACCATGCTCTGACCAACTGAGCTAACTGGCCAGCCCCTGTGTCGTCTTTTAATTTATATTTTCCATGAACTTTCTGAAGTACCCACATATGATTAAATACTGTGAAAGAGGGGCAGACATGGTTTAAGAATAGGATTTGAAATTAGAGCTAAATTCTAGGCCTAAGTGCTCCCAGAAAGTTATTTTGTTTGTAAGTTGAGGTGATTACAATTGTAAAATTCTCTGAGGCTACAAAGAGAATAGAGAAAGCTCTTCTTGGTTATAATGTAAGACATAACTGAATGGCATTTATGGGCAGAGAGCTCTGTAAGCGAGAGTAGGATCTGGGAAAAGGTAAGGAGATAAGAAAATGCAGGTGGCCAAAAATGGGTTCTGGGAACACCGAGTTTGGTGTTTTTTGTTTGTCTGTTTGTTTTGACCAGGAAGGGGATCGCAACCCTCGGCACGGTGTTGTCCGCACCACGCTCAGCCAGTGAGCGCACCAGCCATCCGTATATAGGATCCGAACCTGAGGCCTCAGTGCTACCAGCGCCACACTCTGCTGAGTGAGCCACGGGGTCAGCCTGAGTTTGGTGTTTTGAGAGAACAACAAATAGTCCTTTTTTGAAGTGTTGGGGATGGGAATGCTGAAAAGAGAGTTCAGGTCCAGAAGGCTTTGAATACCCTAGGAAGTTTAGGCTTTATTCTGTTAAGACTGAATCCTTTAAGGATTTGGTTGCTAATTTGTTTTAATAGCAGAGTAAAATAAGAGTTTTCATTTAGGAAGATCAGCAGCACTGTGAAGAATGGATTAAAGAGAGGAAAAGAATAGCAGG